ATCCACTCACCTCAGCCTCCCAAAGTGCTGGGATTACAGGCTGAGTCACTGAGCCCAGCTTGTTTTTTTTTAGAGATGGGGTCTCACTGTGTTGCCCAGGCTGGAGTGCAGTGGTGTGATCATAGTTCACTGCAGCCTCGAACTCCTGGGCTCAAGTAATCCTCCTGCTTCAGCCTCCTGAGTAGCTGAGACTACAGGGGTGTGCTATCATGGCTAATTTTTGAAATTTTTTTGATAGAGATGGGGTCTAGCTATGTTGCCCAGGCTGGTCTCCAACTCTGTCCTCAAGGTATCCTTCTGTCTTGACCTCCCAAAGGGCTGGGATTACAGGCACGAGCCACCGCACCTGGCCTATTTTCTCCATCTCGTCAACCTGTCTTCCCACATCACTGCTCCCAGCCCATCCCATTCTGCTGCCTCAGTGTCCCCCTCACTGTCCCCACTTCCTTGCCACCGCCCCATCTTCCATGCCTGCCCTATCCTCTTCCAACCCTTTCCTTTCCCTTCCCCATTTACCAATTCCATGTTCCCACGACTGCCTCCACCCCTGTCATTGTCCTTATCCCTCTTCTCCCTGTTAACCCAACTCCCCGCCACTCCCTGTAGTCCCCCTTTGCTGCCCAAGCGCCCGCCTCACAAGATGTTGAACTGCAGCAGCTGGATGGCCAGACTCTCAAAGAATCCCTCCAGGGCGAACTTGGAGGCTGCGTAGACGTCGTTGAACATGACCCCTGTGAGGGTTGGAGGGGAGAGCTCTTCGGGGGTCTGGGGTGGATTTCCTGGGCCCCAGAGTGATGGGATCATTGGGAGGGAGAGCAGGGAGGGTCTGGGGGTCAAAAGGAGGGGGCCTTTGGTGCCAAGGGGCTGCACAGTGGAGCCAGGACGAGGTTCTCCTGGGGAGCCCGGTGCCCCCGCCCCAGCTCCACCCCAACCCAGGAAACTCCCCGTTTCCCTCCATCCTCCAAAGCCTTGAGGCCACTTGGATGTGGCATCCCCCGGGGCCCCAGGGCCCCTTCTGCAGGGCCCTTGCTATTCCTTCTAGATGCAGCTTCTCCACGGCAGGGTGACAAGCGGGGGGGGGGG